GTAGTTTAGGCCAAAAGATAATGGATGCATTTTCTTAAGGGGATAAAGAGCACTCCTGTTCATTTTACACCAGCGAAGACATTTCAGTACTATGTATCATACGTATTGGCTATTTTTTCTAAGCTTGAAAGATAAGTATTATAAATTATCCTCTTATTAATATAATTGCATATTGCCTATGTTGTAAAATGATCCTCCCTATCATTTTCTACCGTGGATAAAACTATACATTACCACTGCAATTACTTTGTCTAGTGAGGTTACCACGCTTATCGAAGGAAACAACATGTCTCCCCAGACTCTTAAGATGTGTTCCACTCCAGATCTCTGTGACACTGCTTCACCTTAACTCCCAACCCAGCTCTGCTCTCTGCCGGCTCCGTCGGTCTGGGGCCAAACCTGCATGGTTATCTTCTCTGCAGGCCCTGTCCGTGTCCGCAAAGAGACGGATTCCTGCTGACACCATGGGGACCCCAGGGGGCTCTGCCTGAACTCCTGCAATTCTGCTTACGTCATCTGCACAAACAACAGTTACATTTCCTCAGCACTCCTGATTTCGGAATTGTTTGGAGGTGCTACTAAAGCCCATTCTTACAGACAACACTAGACCTGGCCCACACGTCCGACAGTGCGGGACTGTTTGCATTTCCAGCAAAAAAACCCAGAGTATTTCAGACACTTTTAAAAGCATTTTTAGCGGATGACATAACTTTAATCATTACTGTACGTCCTGAGCATGTGCCTGCGTTATTCCTCGTTTGTAAGCTGCAGTTCGTCCTCACGCTGTCGCACAATGGCACAAACAGGGAGCGCTGCCGGCCCAGCGCAGGAGCTGAGTGGGACAGCACTGACCAACAGTGAGCCTGCTTGAAAGAAAACGGCCGAGGAGAACTGAAAACAAATAAAATCTCCCCGTTAGCAGACAGAACTGCCCATTCTGCACGCAGCAGAACTTGAGAGCTCGAGTCACTTCTTGCGCCTTGAATTCTGCCTACATTCCACAGCCCGCTCTCACGGCAGAAATGCTTTCCCTCTCTCTCCCTCCCTTCTCTTTCTCTCTCTCTCTCTGGAAGAAAAATAACCTCCGTGAAAATTAGAGACATTTATTAATAGGAAGCCTTTGTATTATTTTGAATATAAAACACAGCTGAATCAGGAAGCATCACTCTCAGTATTAAGCTCGTGTGAAAGAATTTACAAAATCTGGGGGAGTTAACATTTACACAGCAACAAGGTTTCCCAGCACTTTGTTTCCTTCCTGCTAGGTACACGCTGCTCCACGTTGCTCTGACACAGAAAGTACAGACATAGGCAAGGAAGGACTCAAAGATGAAGAATGGTACAAATAAGCACCAGAAATATATCGCAAGTACTTCTTTGATAGCATCCAATAATGATGCTAAAACAATGCCTGACGTGCCTTTAAGAATCTAACAAAAATCTACATACTCCTCTTTCCCACTCTAAGCAAAACTGAAAATGCATTAATGAAAAATTATGAAAAACGAACTGTGAGGCTCGTTATGCTGTTCCCTGAATAAATGACCGCCTTTACAGCCTTTATTTTCAAAACTAGAATAAGAACATGGGTCTTTCTAGAAATTATATTTATTTTGAGTAGATATAAAAATGTAACCTGAGATGCTTATTGTTCGTGGCATAGATACATTTAAATATCAGCAGTAACTGGGGCAAATCGTTACGTAACAACGAGTAGTGAGGAGAAAACAAAGCAGAAGAAAAGCAGGATCAGAAAAAAGCAGAGAAAAAAGGACCATACAAATGGAAAAGAAATGTAATATTAATATTAACGTTTTACAGCAGGAAGCATTGTTACGAGTGACACAACAAATAAACTCATTTAAGCAAATAACCTGAGTAAAACTACGTAAAACAGCTATTTTTGGGAAGCGTTCATTCTAAAGGTTTCAATTTATCAGGGAAAAAAAAACTTTTGTAGAAAAAGTTGTGAATGTAAGGTTCCAAATGAGTATCAATCCTGCAGTCTGGCAAAGGTCTCATTAAATTCAAAGCGATTTTGTTTGACTCAGGTTTGCAAGAGTCCGCCCTCCCGGTGCCATTGTTCTGCTCCGTATTTTTCCCTAAAAGCCCCACAAGCAAAGGTATTGTGTCCCTCAAAACAGCACATCTTAGAAAGTAAATACTTCACATGAAATCAACAGACCAGTATGTGCTTTTCAAGAAAAAGGTTGAATTGCACCGTTATAAAAACAGCACAGAACACATGCACAGCAAAACGCAGGTTCTACTGATAGACCGGCGGTACTTTTGTGATCAATTAGATTTATCAGGCACCTCTGACTGCTTCAAACTGTGCTTGGGCCACTAAGCCGTCTCCCCCAGGATTTACTCTAACATTCCAAGCACAGGGGTAGCACCAGACAGACAACAGCCAACATTTTTATTAAAAAAAAAAAAAAAAAAAAAAGACAAATATTTGCAGCCTCCCCCCTAATGCCAAATGCCCTCATCCCAGGATGGGCAGGAATCGTTGCTGACCCAGTGAAAGGTTTAAGGTCTGATATCTGACCCATCAGAAGCTTGCTTTCATTAGAAAGACGAGACAGCAGCTCTCCAAAGATACACACAGAGCACTTGATTATAGTCCTGGGAGTTCTGGAGAAATCTGACCTTTAAATTACATTACTACATACAGAAAATCTATTTAAAGTACATTTCAGCAACTAAGATATTTCAGTAATCTTTATTCTCCCTCTTCTATTTTTTTCCAGAGATCTCTAAGCAGGACTCCAGTAACAGAAAGCACCTGATGTTACTGATAGTGCCCTTCTGCACCCCGGCACGCCGCTCAGCACCGGGCAGCTCTGGGCCGGCTGTGAGCAGGAGATGCTGAGCAGCCGCCGCTGCTGCACTGCTCCTCCGCACTGACAAAACCCATCGCCTGCATCGTGCTGCCGCGGAAGCAGCCGGCGTGTCTTTATGGCTCTTTTGTACTTCAGCTATCACAAAAGACGGTTTCTCCATGCTAAAACACTGCAGAGAGGAAAAGCACGCAAGCGATGTCAACGTTTGCTCTTTTGGGCTAATAAAATTTCAGAGAAAACAAATTTGGATGTACCGTGCCTCCCCTCCCCTTTCCGTGAGCTCCTTCTGCTGTCAGTCCTTGGGGGCACACACAGCAGGCCACCATGTAATGTCACACTAGGTGCTGGGATGCAACAAAGGCCAACATGTTGATATCTTTTTATTGCTCGTCAGCCTGCTTACCCCGCTCCCCCTGAACAATCGGACCCCTTTGATAACACAGAAATTTCTGAAGAAGTTACATTTCTATTTGCAGTCAAAGAAGTTTCTCTCCCCCCCGAAACAATACTCCTATCACCTTGGTTTCCGACTTACAAACTGTTATCCTTATTTTTATAGAAACTAAAAGATAGGGCTGAAGTGATGCATTCGTTTATAAGCATAAATATTTATATTGCCAAATAATGCCCTTTGTTTGTTTGTATGTTTTTCAGGTAGACTAACAGCCACTTTAAATTCATTCTCCATTAAGAAAAGTTCCTAAGGTAATATTGCCTACATGGGCAGAAGTTTCACTGACCTCCCAGTAGAGCCACTACCGTGTGTTTTATTTTGTGTAGAAGTCAAATGCAAAGGATGTGGAGGTGCTTCCCTAATAGCAGCCCAAGAAAACACAAATATTGCTAAAGCTTCAGCCCCACAATGGCAGGACTGCGGCAGAGCAGAGAACTCTGGTTTACTTTCATGTGAAGTACCCAGGCCCGTGGAAGATTCTTTAATAGCATGCTGGTAAGGGCTGCAGTATGAAATAACACGTTTTGTTGTAATTCCTAAACAGGGGGACATTTATCTGGGCCATTTATACAAGAGTTATAACCCTAACAATATTTATACTCAGCATGTCATGTTAGCATTTACTACCAGTTTCCATGGAGATGGATTTTCATGCTGTAGCTATGAAATGCACATTGTTGCCACTAAGCCACTTCAGGCCTTTCTGGAAGCCTGCTGAATGCCTGACAAAAGTTGATGCAAACCAATAGTTGTTGTTCTTTGTTTGTTGCCAGACTTCTAGCAGAGCCATATTATGTCCTAGTGATTGAAGTGCCCATGTTCGCCCCCCTCCCGGCACAAAAAGGATCCTCAATTTCGGTGACAAGCATGAAGTGGGCTTCTGCAGGGGAGGACAAACACCACGCAGGGCCGGAGCTCTGTCTCCGCACAAGGACACGGCGCGGCGGGGGGCCGCTTTCCCGACAAAGCCTGACATTTTGGGGACAAAGTGTAAATAAAATAAAGCGCGGGGAGCGCCCGGGCCCGCGAGGAAGGAGGCAGCGCCGGGCTCCTCCTGCCCCGCCCGGCCGCGGTGCCACGGTCGGCGCCAGCCCCTGCGGGCACGGCCACTCTCACCCCCGCACAACCCGCACGGCCCCGCGCCCGCTCCCCGTCCGCCGGGCAGATGCGCCCCGACGGCCCCGCAAGGTCACCTCGGAGCTCGCCGCCCGCACGCGGCTCTCCGGGCTCCTCCCGGCCGGGTCGGCGCCCGGGCGCGGCGGGAGGGACGCGGCTCCCAGGACCATCCTAAGCAGCGCCGGCGCCGCGGGCGGTTACGGGACGGGTCTCGGCCTCGGACGGACTGAGCCCACCGGCCCGGCTCCCCGCGACGGTGCCCCCGAAAGCCGCGTGGGACAGCCGAGCGGGCCGCAACGAGCTGCCCCCTCCGACGGCACCGCGGAGCGCAGCGGGTCCAAACGCGAGGACGTTTGGACTCCGCGTTATTTCAGCGCAACGCTCATTTCCAGGCGGCCGCTCCGCCCCGGCTCTGGGGTCCCCGCCGCTCTCGGCAGCCCCGGGCGCTGCCCCGTTTCAGCGGCGCTTTGGGCGTCCGCTCGGAGCCTCGCGGCGCTCCTCCGGGCCGGGCCGAGCCGCGCCGCCGAGCCGCGCCGCGCCGAGCCGAGCCGGTCCGGGCCGCGCCGGGCGCACGGTGCTCTTACTGTTGGTAGTCCTGTTTGCAGTAGAGCTTTCGGTCCCGGAAGTAGCAGCTGGTGGTGAGGGCTTGCTGACACACCGCGCACTGCAAACACTCCTCGTGCCAGGAGGACTCGTTCACCCTCATCAGAAAGCGATCCGAGATGGGCCTCTGGCAGCCTTCGCACACGGCCTGGTGCGGGCACTCCGACCCTGCGAACGGCAAAGCGCGGCGTGAGGCGGCGGGACGGCCCCGGCCCCGAGCTCGGCAGCACCGCGCGGAGCGGCCGCTCCCGGCGCGCGCCCCGAAGTGTCACTCAGTCCCGCGCCTGCAACCCGCGGTCAGCCCCGCACGGCGCAGCCCGGGACGGCGCGGAGCCGCGGAGCGTCTCCTCTGGGGCACGGCCGAGGAGCGAGCGGGACTCACCCAGTAACACTCCGAGCGTGGCCGGACCCGAGCGCAACGGGTGATCTTCCATCTTGATGCCGTCCAGCATCTTGGCGCAGTCCGTCGGGCCGCGCGGGAAGCACCTCTCCAAGGACTCGGGGCCCGAGGCGATGTCCATATGGGGCGGCGGCGCGGGGGAGCCGGGGACTGCGGGGCCGCGCACCCCGCGTCGGGCCGAGCGCGGGGCGCTGCGTTGCCAGGAGGAGGGAGCGCTTTTACTTTTATCTGGGAGACATGAGGCGCGCTTCCTGCCGGCGCTTCCAGAGACGGGGGGCAGAGGAGCGAGCCGGCGCCGTGCCCATGGGGCGGCCGCGCTACACGGGCGCGCACATTGCCGCGCACACGGCGCGGGGCGGCCGCGGTGTCACCTGCTCCCGGCAGCGCCGAGCCCCACGCCCGCAGGAGGGCCCTCCCGGGGCCGGGCCGGGCGGAGCGGTGGGGCCGGGCGGCGGCGGGGCTTCCCGGCGCTCCGCAGCCCCTGTGCCATGCGGCGTCCCGAGGAGCCGCGCCGTTTAGAGCAGGGGCCGCGGCGGAGGAACACACCCCCCGGCGCCTCACCCCTCCTCAAACTTGCTGACATTTGAACTCCATTGGTGCGCGCAGTATCGCTGCGCCGCGGTGATCCGTCTCCTCGACGTCAAATAGTGCCCTGGCCCCGGCGGGCCCCCGCAGCCCCCGAAGCGCGGCGGCGCCTGGGGCGCGGGGCGGGCGGGCTTCGCGCACCCCGGGGCGGACCGGTCTGGCTCGCCTCTGCTCGGCTGAGGGGCGCAGACCGGGTGCGGAGCCGGAACGCGCCCCGGGCTGGGGACCGGGGACCGGGGACCGGGAGGAGAGAGCGCGGCCGCCGAGGAGCGCGGCGGAGCGGCGCCCGCAGCCCCGAGCCTCAGCTCCGCCGTGCCGCGACCGACCGGGCGGCAGCCGAGAGCCGGCGGCGCGGCCCGACGGCGGCTCCTGGCTCCTGCCCAGCGGTACGTAGCTGCGCCGCTTCCCCCGCTTCTGGCGTCCCCCGGCCGGGCGCGGGCAGGTGGCGGAGGGGCCCGACCACCACGGGCAGCCCTCGAGCGGGAGCCTCCGGGGCCGCGCCCGATTCCCGCGCTGGCACCTGAAAGGGCCGGAGTCGCCTCGCCGCTGCCACCCGGGCCCGCGCCGGTCCGGAGCTGAGAGCCGCTCCCGGCTCGGAGCTCCGCGCTGCCCGAGGGAGCGCCCGGCGGCCCCGCGTGTCCCCGGCTGCACCGCCCGGGGCTGAGGGTGGCGGAGCGGCCCGCGCTGTGCCCCGGAGGGCTCCTTGCGCCCTTCGTACATAATGCTTCGTGCCGAAGGCTTCGGATGTGCTGTGCTTTTTCGTACTCTTAAATGCAAAAGTACTGAAACGCGTAGATGCTCCGTGTTTATATACACAATGCGTATATTTGCACACAATATGCATGTGAAAAAAAAAAAAAAACAAAACATATTTTAATATAATGCGCTCTTCTGTTTTCTTGTTCGGAACCGATCCACGAATAGCGAGACGCACCGATCTCCGCACGCGGGACAAAGATCTCCCGAGCTCCCGGGCTCGCGCTTTCCTTTCGTTTTTGTTTCTCTGCTGATACTGTTAAAATTTAAATCTGAGGAAATAAAAATCTGGAAAGGATTCTGCGCGGGATTCTTAATGTGACCCGTACTATGCTGTGACCCCGCTGAAGGAAGAGAGTTTATTTTGTAATGCTCCTCAAATGTTGATATTTAATAAGCAGGACAAGTGTTAACCTGAATTACTTAATGCGTCTTTTTCTGGGTCTTAAGATAAAGCCTTTTCCTGCTGATGCAGAAACAGCTCTGAGTGAAATTCGTGATTTAGTCAAATATTTTGGAAAGGATTTTAAGTGATAGAGACTATTTTATTTTTATTCGGGACATTATAAATCTGAAAACCTTTGTAGCTAATGCTGAAAAAATAATATACGATTATTCAATTCTGAGATCAAGATAAAAAGCTGCTTAAATTTCAGACTTCAATCGGAGGAGAGAAAAGCATCTCATGTACACTAATTTTCTTTGTTACCTCCTTATTTTCGTGTAAAGATTCGGTTTCTCCACCACATTGGGCTTTCACCAGTCTATCTCTTACGACTACGAGGACAATCAGAGCCCCACTTTTCTCTCCGAAATAGTTTTCGTAAATTCTCATTAAAAAAAAAAATCAAAATCAAAAGGGACCAACCAACCAAAAAAGAAAAGAAAAGTAAAGAAAAAAAAAAACCCAAAACAAACAAACAAAAAAAAAAAAACAAACAAAAAAAACCAAACGAAAATAGCGAAGCGATCGTGCGGCGGGGCCGTGAGGAGCGGAGCGGGAATTCAACATCCTTGCACCCCCGGGATCCATTCCATCTTTGTTCTTCGGCTTTCACTCACAAATATCGCCCTAAAGATGGGTTCCCTCGCGCCGGCTGCTTCCATCCCTGCCCGCTGCCCCGAGAGCCATTCGATGAGGTGTTACCTTCGGTTTCCAAAGTGCTTTTAACGAAAAGACAAAATACAATTAAAACACCCACGCGCAAAACCATCACAGAAATAAAACCAAGCCGAGCCCCGCAGCCCCACCTTCCGCGGCTTGCTTCTAATTCGGCATTTATTTGCAAGACAAATCTTTTTGTTTTGAGGTGTTTTGTTTTAATTTGGAGAGCACAGCGGCCAAACACCGCTCCGTGTTTCCCGAACGAGGCGGCGGAGCGGAGAGAAGCGGCGCGGAGCTGCGGCCACCACGAGAGCTCCGCGGCCGCATCAGCCCCGCTCGAAGCGCCGCTCAGGGCCGCGGTCGGACCCCGTGCGGGACCACGAGAGCTCCGCTCGGCGCTGTGCGCGCGTTCGGGACAGCGTGAGGCCCCGCGTTACTCGAAGGGACGGAGACAGAGGAGCTCCGCGATTTTTCTGCCTTAAGCGCGCGGTCCCCGGGCGGTTGCGAGGATGTCCGCGCGTTCTGGAGTGTGCGGCCCGTCCGCGTTCGCGTGTTCTGCTGAGTTCCCGGCTGGGGGCGGGCAGGCGGGCGGCCCCGAGGGCTCGAGGAGATCCCCGCGGGACGGGAATTGGCTGCGCCGGCAGTGCGGGCGGCCTCGCGAGCGGAGATCGTGAGTCCCGGCTGCGGGTGAACTTCCCGTGGCCGCTGGAGGCGACGATCGCTCCGCGGCCCGGCCCGGCCCGGCCCGGCCCGGCCCGGCCCGGCCCCGAGCGCAGCCTGCCCCCTGCCGGCGCGCGGAGGCACGACCCGGAGCGCCGCGGGAACTGCGGGGCCGGGAGCGGACCGGGGTCAGGCGGGGCGAGGCGAGCTCGGGACTCCCGTAGTCGGCGGACGCGATCCCGGGACTGCCCCGCGCGGAGCTGCCCGCTCCGCTCGTTCCCATTGCCACGGCCGTGCGACAAGCGGACGGTGATGGGGCTGCGGGGTTCGGCGGCTTTCTTTGTTTTTTTTTTCTCCCCTCGCAGCGGCGTTGCGCGCCCCGCACGGCCTCGGCATCGACCATCGCTGCGAGGGGAGCAGCCCGCTGCGGGGCGGTCCCGACGGGGGCAGCTGCGGCCCGGGCACCGGCAGGGGGGAGCCGGCGGAGTCCCAGAGCCGCCCCGTCGGGCCCTGTGGCTCTGAGCCGCTCTGCCGTCCGCCCTCTTTTTCGCAGCGCACTGCGGGGCCACTCGGAGCGGCTGGCGGGTGCGCCCGGCGCTGACGGATGTAGCCCGCGCTGCCTCCTTCGGAAGGATAAATGTAAGCGAGCCGCGAAGTGTAGTTACCGCTAACAATAACAATAAATTACCGGGCTGCCTCTCGGTGGCACAAACAAATGATTTCTGCGCAGAATGCGGTGCCTCCCCGCGCCTCGAAGCCACCCCTCCCCGGGGCTCGGGCCGCAGCCCCGGCAGCAGGTGGGGGACGACGGCGGGGACGCCCGTTGCCCGTAGGGGGCCCGGGGCCGGCGCCCCGCGGGATGTCAGAGGGCCCCACCCGGGGGCTGCGAGAACCGTCGGCAGAGAGCGATCCGGGCCGCGCTGTGGGGAAGACGGAGAGCACCGCGCCGCCGCTTTAATTAAGCAGGATCTCTTTGATATAGGCAGCCCGATGCTATCTCTGTTCCCTTCTCGGCAGCTTTTGGGTAGGAAAATTGCTGAGGAAGCGGCATCGCACGGGGCCGTGCAGCGCCAGATCGCCCCGGGCAGGTCCCGGTGCGTGCGAGTGCGCGGCGCGCTGGGAGTTCCAACCCCGCCGAGGTGCGGTGCGCGTTGTGTGTATTTTGGGGGGGCCTGGAGGAACGAGAGTCAATTTACCATGATTAAAGGCACAAGCAAGAAGGCGCCACGCATTTGCATGTGCCTTCATCTTTTTTAAGTGGATTTTTGAGGGCAGCGTGGCAGACGAAGCCGGGCCCATCGTCCTCTCCCCGCCAGCGGAGCGCCTCCCGCATTGCTGAGCGCCGCAGGCCTCGGACCCTCCGCCCGCCCGAAGGAGCGGCGGCCTCGGGGCCCGTCGGGGCGGTCCCGGCTCGGCGCGCAGCTGCTCCTCCGCCCTCTCTCCCCGCCGGCGCGGGCACGGGTCCGCGGGAGGCGCCAAGTCAGCCCCACGCAATCGGCCCCGTCCGGCGACAGGCTCGGCCCCGCGTTGCTTTCCCCGCGCCGCAGGCAGAAGGCTCGCCCGGCACTGGAACCGCCGGGACGGGGTTTACCCTCTTATGGGGCCGCTTGTGGGGCACCTTGGCCTCTTCCGACCCGGCCTCGAAGTTCCCCAGGCATTCCCGGCGCATGAGGGTCCGCATCCCACGCCCCTCTGCCCCGGGAGCTGCCCCGCCCGCCAGCGGCCGCGCTGAGAAGAGGCTGTCTTGTCTGGCCCGGCTCCGGACAGAGGCTGAGCTCGGAGGCCAGAAGCGGCGGCAGCGGAAAACGTGCCCGCATCCCAACGCATTCTCCCGGCTCCGGTCCCCGCTCACATCACACCGAGCCGGACCCCGACCTCGTTCTGGCCGATCCTCGCCCCCACCATCAATCCGCACTCGCCCTCCCGGGCACCCCGTGTTCGCGAGCGGGGACAGAGTGGGAGGGACGGGGCCCGACGGGACGGGCTGGGCCCGGCTGGCAGCGGCGTGGCGCACACATGTGGTCCGGCGGCGGCCGGTGCCAGGTGCAGGGCTGGGGGCAGAGTTTACCGCCGAGTT